TTATTTATTTATTTTTGTCCAAGAGGTGTATTTAGCTATTTTTGTACGAATAAAGTGCTACTAAAAGAAAGTGTTACTAAAAGCTAGGGTTGTGATCTCTTTAAGATGCTTTTCTGAAATGCCAGAGATAGGCGTTAGTGTTGGGCGTTCCTTTCTACCTCTCTTTAATTCATTGCTTTCATCTCCAGTGACAACGTATTTTCACGTCATTTAGCTGACCTAGAGCTAAAATCTGGGTCATTTTAGCGCAAAAAGGAACAACAGCTTCTTTCAGTGGCAAGAGGGTTTGGGGAGATGCGCGCCCAAAAAAACATAGCAGCATGTCTCAGATGTGAATGACTGTTTTTATTTGTTTTAATGCTCTGAATCTCATCGATGCCATCTCTTTCCCTCAACAGTTCTGTGAAAGTTTAAAATCAGTAATCCGGGACCAGAGGAGTGTTCTTCTGACCACTGTCATCGGAATGCTTTCCATGTTTTTTCTTGGAATAGCGCCGTCCACCGCACTTCCAACCTTTATCATTCCTTTCATCTTGTGGATGGCTGGATGAGAGACACTTCAAATCTAAACCCTTATGAACTATTTAATGTAGAAAAAGTTTGTATTTTTGGCTTTATTATAGAATGTCACTGCAGAGATTGTTGTCACTGACAGTTGTATTTTTTTGCTATTGATAACTTAATCTTTTTCATTATTTTTACCTTCATATATTAACATTTTACTTTGTTGTACATTTTTTATGACACCCTTTTTTGAAAACATACTGTACTGTTAACAATTAAATAAATGTAAATTCAAATGATAAAATTGTGTTTTAAATGCTCTTGCCTAATTATAGCACAAAAACAGGCTAACAGGCATAAGATATTTAGGGCCCGAGCACAGCGGTGCACGGCCTTCAACGAAATTGGAATTGCTCAGTTGTTTATTATTATTATTCTCCAAAATGAATCACATTTTTGAGGGCTTAGACATGCTCGAAAAAACTTTGCACATGCGCCAGAAGTGGCAAAAATGTACGTCTGATATGGGTTTCAGAAGTGGGTGTGGCAAAATGGCTCGATAGCGCCACCTATAAACTTTCAATAAAGTGCCCCCTGAGCTACATTTCACGTACAAGTATGAATTTCGGTAGACACGTGTAACGTCCCAATACCTACAAAAAAGTCTCTTGGAGCAAAACCTGACACTGGGTTAATAATAATAAAACAATAATTTTCATCAGTTTTTGCTTTTGTGTTGTTTTTTCTGAGCTGTTTACAAAAAGACAAACATCAATTGTTTCAATTCAATTGTTAAAAATGTATAGTTTACAATTGCACTTTTATTTTTACAATTTAACTTTTTTTTTTCAAGTGTTAACAAGTAGTTTTTGAAAATTGTTAATTCATTTTTGTCTGTTCAAGCATAAGAGTTGATTTTATTTAACCAAGGGAATTTTGAAAAGTTCTATAATCAGTAATTCATGTTAAGGAATTATATATCGCCATTGCCGCAACATTTGTTCATTATATAAGGAGCATGCCTTTCTTTGTTACAGAAAGAAACCTTAGGTAATTTAATCCACAAAGTGTGAGAAAGTCATTGGGTAACTATGAATTGTTTGTTTCATTAGGCATGTGATGGAGTTTTTTTTTTTTTTTCTGAAAATAGCTCTTGGTTTGTAATCCTCAAGCCCCTCCCCAGTCTGCCTCAAGTGGGATAAAACCTGCAGGTGTCAGACCATCTAGAATCTCACCACATCTCCAGGATGTTTCCTCTACAGTTCCTCAGCCTGTTTTACATTGCTATGGCCACAGACTTTGAAGACAAGAAGAAGCAGCAGCAAGTGGTCCAATATGACATCTCCATGTACAACAGAGGAGATCTGCTAGAGGTCCCTCGAACTCTTTTTACACATTTCGGAATTTATCTGGGGAACAACCGTGTGGCTCACCTCATTCCTGATATCATGCCAGTCTTGACCACTGACAAGAATGTCCTTGAGAAAATGGTGACTAACAACAGGCTGATTTTGGGTGTGATAGCAAAAAAAGCAAGTGTCCGTGTGGACTCATTGGAGGACTTTGCGTATGGAGCAGAAATTCTGGTCAACCACATGGACAAGGTGTGCAGTCGGTCTCCGTTCGAGGGTGAGGAGGTCGCTAAGAGAGCCGAAAAGCTCTTGGGCTCCGTGGTTTACAGTCTGCTGTGGTACAACTGCGAGCATTACGTCATTTACTGCAGATATGGCACCAGCATGAGCTTTCAGACCTACCAGGTGAGATTTTTCAGGAGAGAAAAAGGGAGCAAAATCAGCAGTCTGTGATATTCTATCAATCAGTAAATATGTAAATCAAAGAGGTTATCAGATATTGTTGAAATAATTAATCTGAAGCTCTGTGGTATGTGTAAATCTTTACATTTCGTCAACAATTTCAGTACCAAGAACTTCAGTATTCAGTACCAGATTTGACTTTCTTAGGTTGGGTTGCTGAATAAACGTATTTTTTAAATGTAAGACCATGTCAACATGAATTTATGTAATAAAAGTAATCCAAAGTAAGTAAGGAGTCTTAAAATTCATGAAGCATATAGTTATTTGCCCCATCTATATTGCTACTTTCAATCAATTAATGTGTGACGTGACAGGATACTTTTTCAGCCACATTGCATTGACTATTTACCTGAAACTCTTGGAATTAGGATGAAAATACATTAATTTGCATTGTAATGTTGACCAGCTAGCTGGTGAACTAGGTTAAGGATGTGTGGCAACAGCACTAATTCCGTTTCAAATGAGATTACATGCACAAATCAGGTTGAGAAATTTACTGCGATTGAGAAATAAACCTCTTTTGTAAGGTTGGTGAATGACTGTGCAGGGCTGAAGTAAATGTGAATTGGAATAACTTAGTCAAATATATCTGTTTACATAGTATATAGAGTCATTCAGGTCCACAAAACTTTCAGTTCACAAACAGGTAAAAAAAAAAAAATCTATATCACTATATGTAAGCTGGTATCAGTATTTTCAGTTAAAACAATGTTTAATGGTTCATTTAATGTTTTGAAATAAATATCTGAAAATTCAATATGATAACCAAGATGTGGAAGAGGACAGGCAGACATCAAACATGCATTTAAACTATCTGACCATTGACTTTTGTGGCATTTTTATCATATTTATTTATATTTTGATTCAGTTGCTTCAGCTGGATTTGAGCAAGAATGTTAATCTGCAGATTCCATGGGAACAGGCTGTAATCTCTTTGAAACTCTTTCAATGGACACACACACACAAACACATCATCTCGCTTTGTTTTTTTTCAGTCTAAAGAAAGATTATGATATTCTAAGAGCATGCATGATAAAAACTAACCACTCTCCAACTGTGGTGAAAGCATGATTTTGCCACAAAAATCTAAAATAGGCTCATCAAAGGAGATTTTTTTTTTAGGCTGTGCAAATGATCTAATTTCCATTAGATGAAAATTAACCATGGAAATCATGAAATCTGTGGTGGTAATTTTGAAAAAAATTATGCATTTATGCATTTAGTAAAATTCCACCCAAGCAGCACCAAAAAAACATTACTGTCACCTATTGTTAAAGAGAGACTTAAGTTCCTCAACTGACGTTTCTCATTTTTATTTAAAATTTTTTTTCGATTCTTCTGAATGCAAATGCTAAATGTTTAACTTTGGATTTCTTTGTTTTCTCCTCAACAGTTCTGCAAAGCCGTGCGCAAGATCGCGTGCAGCAAGACAAGCTCTCTTCTAAGCTTTCTGTTGTGCTTGTTCATCATGTTTTATATGGAGTCTGTGTCCATCTTTGGAATTTTACCAACACTTATCATCCCCTTCATTATTTGGATGGCATCCTGAAGTGGACATTTCATTTTATTTTATGTTATTAATGAGTTCAAAATAGTGCTTTATTATCCTGGGGCACCTCTTGGAAAAAAGAAAGGTAGTAGCTAAATTAAGATTTATCAGGAAAAAGAAGAATTTTTGATTAAACCCATATAAGGATGTGATCTTTCCAGTGCTGTCATGTTAAGGCACATCAGATAGATAATTTATTTTCTTACTGTTTGCTGTGACTTAAAATAATGCCATATCAGTAGGCCTATTAAAAAATTAAATAAGAATGAAAGATTATCATGTACTGTACATGTTTATTTATATAATACTTGAAGGTACTTTAAAGAATTCCATGGTATATTTTGTAAAACTATGGTATGTTAGTTAATGTAAATAAATAAAGAATAAAATACATAAATAAATGCCATATAGCCTATGGCATTTTGGTTCTGTCTTCTCACTGGACAATGCACAAGTTCAAAGTGAAAAAAATATCCCTGCTTTTCCTCAAATTTTGATGACCACTTTTTCTCTTTAATGTTGAAAAGTTAATTGCAAGTGTAAAGTGTAGATCAAATGAAGCCCTTCTGCGGAAATACCCTGTAGATCATTGGTAGAAACTCGACTGTCAGGTAAATAGCGTTTGAGCATCGAACCGTAGATCATCGAGCGTTACACGAATTTATCCCCATTTTTATACGTTTGTTAATTCATTGAGTGGCCAAAAGGTAAGAGAAGCGGTTTAATTACATCAATATGAGTTTGAAGATTAGTTCTAATTTGAAGATTAGTTCTAATGTTTTTCACAAGAGCTGACAGAAGTGTGTCGCACATTCCTCAGATCATAATATTATTCACATGCAGCTTGTTATATAAAATATAATCGACTAAAAACACTTGTTTTGGTCGACTTTACAGGTTCCCGCTCGTTTAAATGGTCCGGCTGTCCTGTTATCATTGAATATGACGAACGTTTTTACCTCAAAATTTTGACTTTGATTTTTTTGTCACAAGTATCGAAGTTTTTATATAATAGTGATTTATTAAAATAGGTCGTATTGTGATTATCATAAATAAATAGACATTAAATTCGTATAAGACCGTATATTTTATTACGTTACTTGAAAGATATAGTTATGATGCTAACTGTGTAATTATGCTAGCTGAGCTGCAAAGCTGCGTTCCTACGAGAGCCTTGAATCTCACAAGTCATCACATTTTTATCAATAAATAGAGACATTTGTATGTAACACCGTAAAGTTTTCCTACATAGTCCGCTTATCTACAGAAATATACGTACATCATTTGAAGTATGATAAATGAAAGGCCTCGAATGTGATAGATTTGAGAGAAAACTGACACAACGATTTTGTTTGGTAGCACTGTTTTCTGAAGTGGTCATGGATGAATGCAGCACCAGTCAGCAATCTGATAACAGTAAGATGGACAGCTCTAAAGAAGCTGCTCTCTTGGCCCTGATGGACAGGACAGGCTACAGCATGGTTCAGGAAAATGGTCAGAGAAAGTTTGGTGGTCCACCTCCAGGTAAACTAAAAAATCTTACTGTACATTGCATTACATAACATTAGCTAGATTCTTAGTTTTCTGTGTGCTATGTTTCTATAAGTTCATAGGTAAGTAAATAGGGTACATTTGTATATATTGTATATATAAATCTATTCTTTTTGGCTGACATCATCTAGTCCACGTGAATACTGTATTAATAGGTCACATGGGAAGGGAAAATAATGTTAAATGGATAATTCTCCCAAAAATAAAAATTCTGTCATCATTTACTCACCCTCAAGTCGTTTCAAACTGTATAACATTCTTATATGGAAGTTACATTGAAGAATATTGGCGACCAAACAGTTTCCCATTGACCAAAAGGTTCCCGTTGACTTCTGTTGTATTTTTTGTCCAATCAATTGATGTCAATGGGAACTGAAACTGATTGGTTACCAACATTCTTCAAAATATCTTCTTTTGCATTCCACAGAAGAAAAAAAGTCAGCCAGGTTGAAACATGACAGTAAGTAAATGATGACAGCATTTTTATTTGTGGGTGGACTTTCCCTTTAACCAGTAGCTAAATAGTTATGAAGGCATTATTTTAGGCCAGGGGTTTTCAAACCTGTTCTGGAGCCCCCCCCAGCTTTGCACATTTTGTGTGTCTCCCTCATCTAACACACTTGATTCAACTCATCAGCTCATTAGTAGAAACAACAAGACCTGAATTGGGTGTGTCCAATAAGGGAAACATACAAAATGTGCAGTGCTGGGTGGACCTCCATAACAGGTATGAAAACCCCTGTTTTAGGCTACTATTGTAGTTACATTTGTCTTTCTAAATCTCTAAATCCCGGGACAAAGTATTCACAAGTAACTGCAAATTCACAATAAGCTTATAGGGATAGTTCACCCAAAAATGATTTTTTTTTCATCATTTACTAACTCCCATGTATGAATTTCTTTCTTCTCACACAATGAGATATTTTGGTAACCAAACAGTTGCTGGTAATCATTGACTTCCATAGAATTTTTACCATACCATGGAAATCAGTGGCTACCTGCAACTGTTTGGTTACCACCTTTGCAAAATCCAATCAATTCAAGATAGATATAGTTCAAGCTCCAACCCGTGCTTTTTCTTGATTAATACCATTACATATCATATTACGGTCCTAAAATGACCTGGAAATGCCATTTCACATTGACTTTAACAGTGTAGATTTATTGATTCATAAGTATATGATTTGCAAGTAGCCAAAGTTTAAATTGCTCCACTTCTCATGATATATTTAGCTTTATTATCCTGTATCATAATTTACCATACAATGTGCAAGAATATTCCTGTAAAACATTTCTGTGTTAAAAATTAAGACTGGAATGATGTAATACAAAATATTATTTTATGTAGCATGAATTAGTGGTGTTCATAATAATTCACTAAAGTTATGTCTCAGGGGGCATATTTCAGAAACTTCCTATCTTAGGTCTGAACTTGATCATTTAATTTAGGATTTTTCACAAATTCGTATTACAGAAGCAAATCTTAACTTGATTTAGGATTCTTATCTTATCTTACAAAATCGTATCTCATGTCTAGTTAGGAAATCTTAAACCGCTCGATCGAGTTAGACACTGACTGGTCTATTACCAAGCAACCAACTACGCACAAGCGGCTGCTGAGGCAAACATAAAATCAACAACGGCCTGCTTTTAACTTGCAGAATGACCGGTAGTGCTCTGTGACAGCTCATGGGACTCTGTAATGTTTGTCGCAATTGGTCAACTCTATATACTGTATATAGGCTCTATGTATATATATTTTTATAGGGTTATATCTGTCTGTCTATATGTAGCACTGTGGTCCTGTGAGGCATGACATTTGTACGTCTGCACATATGGCGGATTGACAATCACTTGAACTTGAACTAACTGCAAAATCATGTGTGGTGGGAGTTTATAATTATATACAAGTATTTTATCATCAAAGAGCAACACATCTTTTGGGTCCTTCAAAAGTCTCTCCACCATCAAACTCTTCATCTTGTATGATTAATAAATGTTATGCCATTCTCGAAAAGGGCTAATGTAATGTGTTTTTTTTTACAGTTGGATTTCAAAAAGGTTTGAAGTTGTGACACCAGTGGGGTTATCCTAAAGTTAAGACCGTTTTTAGGAAGTTTTTGCGAGTTAAGATGCTTCTGTAATACCGTTTTCCTATCTGTAGTTAAGATAAGATAATGCACTTAGGAAATGGTGTTCTGTAATAGCCTTTGTCCTAAATGAGGTCCTAACTGAAATTGCCATGGTTACCTAACAGATAAGATTCTAAAGTTAAGATCTTTCTGTAATACGCCCCCAGGTTGGGAGGGCCCTCCTCCTCCAAGAGGTTGTGAGGTGTTTGTGGGTAAAATCCCAAGAGACATGTATGAGGACGAGCTGGTACCTGTTTTTGAGCGGGCTGGTCGTATCTATGAGTTCCGTCTGATGATGGAGTTCAGCGGGGAGAACCGTGGCTATGCCTTCGTCATGTACACCACACGCGAGGGAGCCCAACGAGCCATCCAGCTCCTAGACAACTATGAAATCCGGCCCGGAAAGTTCATAGGAGTATGTGTGAGTCTAGACAACTGTCGCCTTTTTATCGGCTCCATCCCGAAAGACAAGAAAAAGGAGGAGATCCAAGAAGAAATGATGAAGGTGAGTATATCACACAACTGTGCATATTAGAAACTACACAGAACTCGTGGCCTAATGGTTAGAGAGTCGGACTTGTAACCCAAAGGTCATGGGTTCGAGTCTCTATACAGGCAGGGATTGTAGGTGGTGGGAGTGAGACCAGCGCTCTCTTCCACCTTCAATACCACGACTGAGGTGAGACCCTTGAGCAAGGCACCGAACACCCAACTGCCCACTGCTCTGGATGTGTTCATGGTGTGTGTTTGTTCACTACTCACAGCTGTGTGTGTGCACTTGGATGGGTTAAATGCAGAGCACAAATTCTGAGTATGAGACACCATACTTGGCCACATGTCACCACTTCACTTCACTAAAACAATATGAAATATATTGTGTGAATACAATATGAATTCATATACAATATGAAAGGAATACAACATGAAAGACATTGTGTTACACCATCTAGCACCATCTAGTGAAAAAAAAAAGAAATTGACTAATTACATCACAGAAACAATAATAAAACAGTTATTATTGTTTCTGTTATAATGTCTAATCGTTTTTATATTGCAATTCTATGTCCAGGTGACTGAAGGGGTCATGGATGTGATTGTGTATCCCAGTGCAATGGACAGGATGAAGAATCGTGGCTTTGCCTTTGTTGAGTATGAATCCCACAAAGCAGCTGCCATGGCTCGCAGGAAACTCATACCAGGTGCAAAAGCACAGTAGAAATATATATAAAAAATTATTTGTGGTTCTTTATATGGCAAGCATCACTATTTCTATTGCTCATACTTTTGGGGTTGTATTCGTCAAAGAATCCTGAAAAAATGTTGTGATTACACAAAAATATCAAGCAGCACAACTGTTTTCAACGTTGATAATAATAAATGCTTCTTGAGCACTAAATCAACATGATTTCTGAAGGATCATGTGACACTGAAGATTGGAGTAATGATGCAGAAAATTCAGCTTTGCCATCACAGGAAAAAATTACATTTTAATATATATTCAAATAGAAAAAAATTTTTGTACAATAATTTCGCACAATATCACTGTTTTGGATCCAATAAATGCAGCCTTGGTGACCATAAGATACTTCTTTAAAAAACATGAAAAAAAAACTTATTTATACCACACTTCTGACTAGGGCTGGGCAGTATATCGAGTGTACGATATATCGATATTTTCTTTATAAGCGATTCGATATAAGGCAATACCGTTTATATCGATATACAGTAGTTTGATACGAGCGCATCTGAAAATATAGCGGAGGACACAGCCTGAGCTGCTGCGGAGAAAGTGCATAATCCAGTTTGTTCTAAACATGTGACAAGCTTCATATTTAGGCCTTTAAAAACTGGTAAGACATAGTATAGTTTCGTTTCGCATATTAGTTTAAGCGGCTCGGCCCGTCATATGCTCTGACAGAAAGGCTGCGTGTGCCGCTGACAGAGACACTAGGCTACTCGCGTTGTTTAATGTGTTTGAGATGTGCTGTTTTCCTAAATGCATAACTTGCATTTCACAGGTATATTCTCCATTTGTAAATATTAGAAAGTCATGGAAATATTTCCATTTTGCTGTCAGAAGTGCATGAGCCTTCTGCTTTGGGATTCTCCGATAAACTTCACACAGACTTCAGTGAACAAGTGCCGTCGTGCGCATGCGCACCAAACAGACGGTGCTCAATTAAAAAGGAGCGCAATAATTCTGACTAAAATATACATTTCGCTGAAATATTTGTAGTTGGACAATAAATGTGACATGTAGAATTTTAAACTTACAAGTAGGCTAAGTCTATTTTTATGATAGCACTGACTGAAAAGTGACTGTAATGGGGTAATCAAAATAGCCTAACACAACTCTGTGCTTTTATTCTCATTTATTTTCATTTTTAGTTTAGTGAATTTAACTCTTTCCCCGCCAGCATTTTTGAAAAAAGTGTTGAACGTGTGTAATTAAACAAGAAACAACGGAGTGCCTAATAAAACACTCTTTTGTGCGGAACTACTTCCTTCCGCCACGGATTCAAAACTCGAAGTTGACAGTTAAACATACGTCACTTTTAGAATTCGTATCAAGGGCATGTGCTGCTTCAGTTAGGTTATTAGTGAGAAATAATGAGGTTATAAGAGAGAAACAATGTGGCAAGACGTGCATCCAAATGAGAGAGAGAAAGACCGCGAAACTAGACGTTTCTTCTTATATTAACTAACGTAGCTCAGTGAACAATTAAAAAAAAAACATAGACCCGGCTAGAACAAGCGGAGTGATACAAAATTGTGAAAGGGCGTTCCTGTAGCAATACCAGTACAATATCTCACGGTTCTCAACCAATCAGATTTGAGAACCAGAA